CCCAACCTTCCTTCCGAGGAGTGGCTGGTGGGTTTGAACTGCCAGCCGTCTGGTTAGCAGGCAAGTGTCTTAGCCACTATGCTACCAGAGCTCCCATGTTTTAAGCTATAACTCACAAATCCATATTAATAAATCTAACAGATACACACATTCATGCACATACAAACACATGTGCACACAAAACTGAAAGAAAAATTTCAGATAATAATATTTACTTTTTGATATTTTCTAATTGAGTCAAGATTTTTAAAGGCTGATCACAACCCAATAAATTATTTTTTCAATTTACTGGTAAATCATGATTCATAATTTGTAAAACACTGTCTTAGAACACCCATTTTCAAAACCTTTGTCTCAAGTGGAAAAAAAAAAAGGTGGTAGAATTAAGAGCACTGGACATTGGGTATAACCCACAGCCTCTCTTGTCTATGCCTTACCCTGAGTGAGGAATAATACTACTGGGAGTGAGTCCTACAAGTAATAACTTCTCTGGAGGGGCACGGCAGAAAGGAGACTGAAAACTCTGCTTTAAAAAGTGGAAACAGCCAACTCTGTCTCCTCAGAAGAAAAATATCAAGATTAATTAGATAAATTCTCCAAAGGATCTTGAACATCCTTGTTGTTGTTGTTGTTGTTATGTGCCATCGAGTCAAACCCGACTCATAGCAACCCCTCCTTGGATTTCCGAGGCAGTATCACTACGGAAGTAGGATTAGATGTCCTCAAAACAAAACAAACAAACAAAAAAACCTCACTGCCATTGAGTCCATTCCATCCATTCCAACATATAGCAACCCACAATGGGTTTCCAAGGCTGTAAATCTTTGCAGAAGCAGGCTGCTCCATCTTTCTTTTATGAAGTGGCTGGTGCGTTTAAACCACTGACCTTTGGGTTAGCAGCTCTAGGTAAATAAAAAGTATGATTTTCTAATTCAGCACAAAGATACTCCTGAATGTTAATATATTTGAATAATCAAAATGTTAGGTCTGAGGAGACAGAGTGGGCTGTTTCTACTTTTGAAAGCAGGGTTCTCAGTCATCTTTCTGCCATGACTCAGGTGAGGTGAGTGAGGTATCTTGATTGCCGAGTATTTTTTTTTTTTTTTTTTTTTACAATTGCACAACTTAGCCTTGTGCAATTTTGGCTCACTCTAATTTTGGCTCTATTTTTATTTAAAACTTTTTTGCATTCATTTTGATTTTTTTTAATATTATATAAAAATACTACTTATCTTGACCACTTCAATTTCATTCCTGAGGTAGCTGCCTCCCTTACCTTACCCCAGGAGTACGTACCTAGGACAAGTTGAACAAGTTAAGTATCAAAACCAGGCTTTCTAGTAACTGTCTGTCCAATTACAACTTCATTTGAGTACCATGATTCAAAGAATCATGTTAACATCCAGTTGTTGTTAGGTGCCATCAAGCCTTCTCCGACTCATAGTGACCCTATGCACAGCAGAACGAAACACTGCCTGGTCCTGTGTCAGCTCCATGATCCTTGCTACACTTAAACCCATTGCCGCCACCACTGTGTCAATCCATCATGTTGAGGGCCTTCCCCTCTTTTGTCGACCCTCCACCTTACCAAGCATGACATCCTTCTCCAGAGAATGGTCCCTTCTGACAATGTGGCCAAAGTAGATGAGATGAAGTCTGGCTCTTCTTGCCTCCAAGGAGCATTCAGGCTGCACTTCCTCCAAGACAGATCTATTAGCTCTTTTAGCAGTCCATGGTACTCTGAGCATTCTTCGTGACACCACAACTCAAGCATAAATTCTTCTTCGGTCTTCCTTATTCATTGTCCAGATTTCACATGCATATGAGGGGACTGAAAATACCACATGTAGCTTGAGTCAGGTGCACCTTTAGTCCTCAAGGAGACATCTTTGCTCTTTAGCACTTGAAACACATCCTTTGCAGCCAATTTGCCCAGTGCTATAAGTTATCTGCTGTCCTGACTGCTGCTTCCACTGGCGTCAATTGTAGAACCAAGCAATGTGAATTCCTTGACAACTTCAATTTTTTCTCCATTTATCGTGATGCTGCTTATAGGTCCAGTTGTGAGGATTTTTGTTTTCTTTATATTGAGATGTGATCCATACTGCAGACTGTATTGTTCAATCTTCATCAGTAAGTGCTTCAAGTCATCCTCATTTTCAGCAAGCAAAATTGTGTCATCAGCATATCGCAGGATGTTAATGATTCTTCCTCTAATCCTGATGCCACGTTCTTCTTCATATATTCCAGCTTCTTGGATTATTTGTTCAGCATACAGATTGAATAAGTATGGTGAAAGGATACAACCCTGATGCACTCCCTTCTTGATTTTAAATGATGCAGTGTCCCCTTGTTCTGTTTGAACGACCACTTCCTGGTCTATGTACAGGTTCCTCATGAGTACAATTAAGTGTCCTGGAATTCCCATTCTTCTCAATGTTATCCAGAATTTGTTATGATCCACACAATCAAATGCTTTTGCATAGTCAATAAAACACAAGTAAATATCTTTCTGGTATTCTTTGCCTTGAGCCAAGATCCATTTGACATCAGCAATGATATCCCTCATTCCACATCCTCTTCTGAATCCAGCTTGCATTTCTGGAAGTTCTCTGTCAATATACTGCTGCAACCATT